TCCTAGAGTTTGTCAATTTCTTGTTGAGACTGTTGATGTTATGTGCTCTTAGGTCCACTATGACCCACAGTGAGCTCACAAACAGCAGACAGTGCCCTAACCTGTATGCCCACAGCCACTGTTAGAGTCACTGTGTCAACAACATAATTCATTGTGATTAAAGGTTGATATTGTCAATTCCTAATAAAATGGATCTCTTTTTTTCTTGGTTCATAAGAAAGACAAGTGTCCCATCTCTCATTTAAGTTGGAAATACATGTTGTTGTTGTTGTGGATCAAAGAATCAAAACCGACCCATAGCTGATCCTCCAGGGGGTCTGCATAGGCAGTTAATCACTTAAGAGGAGACTGCCCATCCTTCTTCCATGGAGCAGCTAGCTGGTGGCCTTGAACCGCATGCCTTTGGGATTTTAGTGCAGCTTCTTGCCACTAAGCCCCCAGAGCTCATGGAAATACATTGGGGAGTGTGTGTGGGGGGGGGAGTTGTTACGACCCATCTGGTCACCCACGCTGCCTCTCTGGTAATGCCCACCACTTGCCAAGTCCTATCCCTCTAATCCCTTTACAATCTGTGCTGTTGACAAAGCATGTGCTCAAAGTCTCAGCATGTCAACAACTCAGGGACTCATTTCTTGACGATGCTTGTGCTCCAAGTCTCAGGGCGCCAACAATTCACAGCCTCAGTTCCAGGACTGCCCACCTTGCATCAGGTCAAACTGCTGTTCTCAAAGTTATTTTAACAAAACCCAGAGACAATCATGGCATTCCCCTGGTTTAAATATCTTTACGATGAATTTGTCACTTTTTGTGTGGCATCTGTCTGTGTATGAGGCCAGCAGCTTGGCTCCCACCACCTGCCTTCCTAGCCTTCCTCACTCTTTTCCCTTCTGACCACTCTAAGGGGACACTGTCGCTTTGCCATGGATGATCTCCTTTCTCTTTTTCTCTACATGACAAAACCCTTCTTTTTAAAGATGTAATCACAATGTTGGTTCTCTGTGATACTTGCAATAATCCCCAGTGAGCTCATTCTGAATTCCTATGGTCTGCACACAAGTTCTGTTATCTGTATGCTGTATCCATCCGCGCGGAGCTGATGGCACGACAGCTCCTACATGTCCAGCTGCTAACGGAAAGGGTGCGGTTGTCTGGAACCCACCTCATGTCTCTGAGGGAAAAAAATACCTAATGATGAGCCTCTGTCCAGATTACAGCGAAGAAAACGTTATCAGGGATCTGTTCTTAGTCACTTACTGGGTCATTATGAGTCAGAAATTGACTTCAGGGCATCCGATGGCAAGATTGCTTAACACCTTAAGTAAGCTTTTCGCCCTTAACATGATGTCAGCACTGTGACTAATGCTTAAAAGTAATGATGTATCTTGTTTTGTTTTTACTTCTTTGCTGTGCATTTACTTACTTATTACATATTTTCATTATCAAATGATGTTTTAAAAACAGTATCGCTATTGCCAGGTCCCCGCTGCTTTTGGCAAAATAGATTCTGGCAGGGTGGTCATGATAATAACACAATTACTACTTAATGAGTACCTATCCTTCCAAGAAAGAACTGTTGGTGGTATAATGGGCATATTGGTCAGGTAGCCAAAAAGCTGGCAGTCTGCCTCCCCACAACCCCCAGCTGGCCTGTAAGTGGAAGATGGGCAGTCTCCTCCTGGAAACCCAGAAGATTTAGTCCAGACTGGACTTAGTCTCTGAAACCCAGTGAAGGGCACTGTGAGTTGTAACTGACTCAGCAGAGTTTGCTTTGCCTTTGATTACACAGGAAGGAACTCGGGTGGGGTGGGGAGGGGTGGGGTGGTGTAAACACTTGGCTGCCAACTTCAAAAGCCAAAGGTCACATCCACCAGCCATGCCTTCAGTGAAAGGATGGGTGACAGGATTGCCAGGAGCTGGAATCAAATTGGCAGCTGCTGGTTATATATACTAGGCGTGGGTCTAAGGTGTTCTCCGTGAATCAACCCACTGACTCCTCCTACCAGTCCGGTGGGAGTCTGAAGTATCATTATTTTATTTTTTTTTTGTGATTTTAACAAAATGTTACAGAAAAGCTGGATTGTCAGTCCTTCAATGCTGCACATTTTCCTCCCTATATCCCCCCCAGTTCACTTTCAAAAAAATAAATAATTCATTGTTGTATAATTTCCTCCCTCCCCACCGCACCCCTCCCTCAGTCCTCTTTGCTATGCCCCTCTTATTCCGGACTGTGGTCAAACAAATATATTCCAAGGCAGCAGAGTACTCGCATTTTCCTCATTTCATTAAAATAAACTACAGCAAAGTTGAATGATGTTGGATCACAGACTTCCTGTTCTTAACCACTACTTATTAACCGTAAGTTATGGCAAGAAAACAGCAGAGTCTTTAACCTAAAATCAAAGAATCCTAACTGTTATATGTACTGTTGAGTCAGAACTGAACCATAGCTGACCTTCTAGTGTACCCGTCCTTCTCCCAGGGAGCAGCAGGTGGCTTCAAACTGCAAACTTTTGTGTTAGTAACACAATTCCTTACCACTAAGCCACCGTAACTCTAGAATAATCAATTAAAAGTCTTTCGCTGTCTGTATTGATGACTAAGAAGCAAACAGAATCCGAATCCTTCTCCACGAACTCTAGAATAATTAATTTCCATATCCCTTCTGTGTTTGAATGTACAAAGTAAAGTCAAAGTCTACATGAATTTCTAAGATAAAATTCACTATAAGTGGATTTAACATTTTGGTCACACATAGTGGTTTAGTCTGTTAAGACAGAAAAAGAAAGAAACCAGCTTTCAGTCTATTTTATAATAAATCTATTCCAGGGGTACTAGGTCAATCTTCCTAGAACTCTAATGAATTAAACAGAAGTCTCTTACTCATTTCTTCACCTCTATTTCTTATAAAAGTACTTGTTTTAGGTACATGGCAAAGGTACTGTTCTCCTTGGCAATCTGTGCACAGGTATGAGGTTAAATACATCTGCACTAGATAAACTAAGCATACGTGCAATCTTAATAAATTTGGTAAAATAACTGAACAAGTCCTAGATGTGAAGTGTACCATTTTTCTAGGTAATAACAATGCATTTTAGTTTGGGTAAGATACCTTGAAGCATCTAATTTTTTTTTATTAATTTTAATGAAAATTTAGAGAGACTTTGGATTTCCATTCATTCATTGTTGCACTTTTCTCCCTGCCCCACCCCTTCCTCTCCCCAGCACACTCTCCTCTTTGAAAAGTAAAAAAAACGGTTCCCTCATTGTTTTACAATCCCTCCCCCCAGTCTATGCAGCCTTCGTTCTGGACTCCTGTCATGATAATAATGCCTCATCACATATCCCTTTTAAACCATTTTCTCCCTCATCCCATCTTTCTCACTCTCCCCCAACCTTGATGTCAATCCTGTTTTACAACAGTGGAAATATGCAGTATTTGTCCCTTTGTGACTGAGATAATTCACTCAGCAAAATGTCCTCCAGGGTCATTTTTAATAATATTGCATGAGTTCCTTGTTTTTCAATGCAGCATAATATTCCATTGTGTGAATATATCACAGCTTCTCTATCCATTCATTTGCTGATGGGCACTTAGGTTGTTTCCAACTCCTTGCTATTGTGAACAGAGCCGTGATAAACATGGGTGTGCATACCTTGAAGCATTTCTACGTGTTTATCTTAAACACTGATTGACGTGATGGTGGTGGTTGTTGGAGTCAGGTCCGACTCATAGTAACCCTATGAAAAACAGATCTGAACCCTGTTCTGACCTGTACCATTCTCGTTACCTCTGGCGTACTCGAGCACAGTGCTGCAGTCACTGTCTGTCAATACATCCCGTTGAAGGTCCTCCTCGCCTTTGCTGGCCCTCTGCCTTCCCAAGCATGATGCCCCTTTCCGAGGATTAAGTCTCCTAACAGCTACGTGTCATCGCCAACTTGACAGCACACAACAAGAAGACACAACACTCGAGCTCATCTCATTGCAATGATTTGGATCCAACTCCTAGCTTCCCAGGCTGTAAATCAGACGGAGTAGATTACCCAGCTTTCTCCCTTGGAATTGGTGGTGGATTCAATTGCTGGAGGTTCTGCCTTTGGGTTAACGGCATAGCTTCCCAGGGACTATGGTGCCACAGTGCCCTAAATAAGCACCAAGCAACAAGAAAACACAAACTGTGTAAGAGTAGACCACACAATTCAAGTCCATTTTGCTCAAGGGCAAAATTTGATTATATTTGAGAAAATTTTCAAAATTTGTATAATATGTTGTTGTGTACCATACAGTTGGGGCCAACCCATAGGTGACTCTGCAGTGGATTTTTCAGAGGCAGTAAGTCTCATGGGAGTCGATTTCCCATCTTTCTCCCACAGGGTAACTGGTGGATTCAAACCATGATATACCATAATAATATCCCATAGTTCTTCTTTTTTAATTGTTGTTGGTTTTGGTGGGGTTTTTTTTCTTCTTGTTATGTACCATCAAGTCAGATCCAACTGGCACAGGAAGAGACTGCCCCTCCTTCTTCAGAGGAGCATCTAGTGGATATGAACCATGCACCTTCAGGATTGCAGTGCAGCTTCTTGCCACTAGGCCACCAGAACTCCCTTCCCATAATTCTTCTAAAAGAACCCATAATAAAATAAAAATGGGAAAGATTTAGATAAGGTTTATCCTATTACACAATTCTATCTGAAATGTGAAGGATTAAAAGAAAACAAATGTAGTATTTCTTTGAGATTCAAGGTGCAACCTAGTTAATACAAATTAAGTAGTATATAGTTAGTAGCTCTTAACTACTTTCCCTTTTTGAAGTGCTGTTATTTGAAAAGTAATTTATTAGGGGTAAAATAATTTAAATGGTCTTTTAAGATCCACATTTATTTTTTAAAAACGTGTTCTGTCTGCTCAGTTAATGCTGGTTACTAATAAAACTTTTCAAACTTACTATCAAACTATTTTTGTTCTATTGCATAAAGGCAGTCATTTGAAATGCTCGCTCATAAAATCCCTCTTCCGTGGATTCTTTTCAGAAAGGGCCTCTTCCTGAATCTGTTGCTTTGAGAAAGACAATGTAGGTTATAAAGATGCCACAGTAGCAGCTATGATTGCTGTCAACATTCCTTCTTAATGAGGCCATTCTAAGTGCTGGTTCCACCGCAGAACTTCTGCAACAACATGTTGGTTATACACAGCCCTCAAAGACTCCTATTTATTAGCTATAAAAGGCATTTTAAAAACCAGACTCCAAAGGGCATTTGTAGGAGTCTCTTAAAAGAATCCACATCACGGCAAATATCCCTAATTTGGTCTTGGATCATTACTTCCACAGCTGACTCTAAAGAGTGAATCCCATATATAGTGGTATCTTGTAAGGCCTTTTTAAAAAGACCCTTTGCATGCAAAGCTTCCCAGACTTATGGCTTGGTGTATTATATCTTTGTGATACTGAATGCAAAATATTTAATTCAAATTAAGGAGGCGACATTTACAGTTATTATATAACCCAATATAACCCATGGATGAGGACGTAGGAATGGTGATTTAGAATTCAGTGATTTATGATCTCTAATTCCCTAACTGCTTGACTGGAGCTCCTGCAGGAAGAACGGGCACCACGCCATGGTGGCACTGGGTGGGCGAGTGATTCCAGGTAGACAGGAGAACCCAACGGAGCAAAAGTAAAACTCAATTGAGAAGAGGGCAGAAAATGCAGGAAGAGTGCAAAAAGATGATCAGATTTTCCACTTTGGACATTAGAACAAAACTAGAATTTCACATCACTGATGAGGGTCTTGGAAACTTGGAAAGGAAAGGGCAGGGGAAGCAACTTTACTGTCGAGTGCCTTATAATTACTTATTTTTTCTTGCCAAGTCCCTTCACATCATCTGTTCCTCTTGAAAGATGAAATTCCGCTTACACAGAGGGCCAGTGTGTGGGCTCACTCCCAGGATTCTAAAGCTGGCATCTGGCCTCAATGCTATTTGGTTCTCCAAACATTTACCTAGTAGACCAACATCTAGCTAACTAAACAAAACTGACCAGAGAACATTAATAATTAACAGACAGCACTAATATATAGCAAGCGCCATATATCAGGCCTCGTTCTAAGTGCTCACATATATCACTTTACTAATCCTCATCACTGACGTAGAGCGGATTCTGAGGACAGCACTGGGAGCCAGTGCCCACCAGGTTTCTTAGGCCGGACTCTTCTGTGAAAGTGAAATGGAACATCACTCTCCTGTGGAGGTGCGGAAGGGTTTGAACCAGCGAGTTTTCAGGTAGATGCCAAGCACTTCAACCTCCACACCACTAGGGCTTCTTTTTGTTTTTGATACAATATTTTATATTAATTGTCATTTTAATGAAAGTTTACAGAGAAGATTGATTTTCATTCATTCACTGTTGCACATTTTTACCCCTTCTCCCTCCCTTTCCCCTCCCACAGTTCACTTTTTGTTTTGGTTTTTTTTTTTTAATATTCTTCTTAAACTCTTACACTAACCCAATAAAGAGAAATTATCTAATGTACAAAGCCAAGGAGGCTAAGAAAATTGCAAGTAAAAAAACAAAACAAGAAACTTGCAAGTGTCAGATCTGAGATTGAAACCTCTGTCTGCAGACCTCAAACCTTGTATTTCTTTCAGACTCACCAAGTGTGACCCAGGGAAGCGGGCAACAAGTTCAGCAGGGTCACTGTACCCACTGGCTCGCTTTCATCAAGTTCAGGAGAAAATGACTAACAAACAAAATCTCTATTGTTCTACGTGTGACTCCAGAATCAAACCCATTACTGCTGAGTTGGCACCAACTCACGATATCCCTCCATTGCATTTCCAAGGCTGTAAATCTTCATCAGAAGAAACTACCTCCTCTTTTTTTTTTCTTCTTCCTGGAGTGGCTGGTAATCCAACAGCTGACCTTTTATTAGCAGCCTTGCATGAAATGCACTAAGCCACCAAGGTTCCTTTAAGATTGGAACTCATTCACTGTTGAGGGGAATGTACAATGATACTACCACTCTGGAAGGCGGTCTGGAGCTTTCTTAAAAAGATGAAAATAGAAATACGATTTGGCCCAGCTTTCCCACTAATAGGAAAGAACCAGAAACTAAAAAAAATCAGAGCCAATGCAAACAAATGCAGCACACCCAAGTTTATTGTGGTGTAATTTACAATAGTGAATAGATGGGAGCAGCCCAAGTGCCTGTCAATAAATGAATGGATAAAAAACCTGCAGCCACACAATGGAATATAATGCAGCACTGAGACACAATGAACTTGTAAAATACTGTATAACATAGATGAGTTTAGGAACTGAGTGAAATATCACAGTCACAAGACATATACTGAGGAAGATCCTGTTACACAAATAGGATGGACCTGGAGGAGGGGAGAACAAGAAGATAACAAGCACTACACCAGAAGAGAAGGGAGGGAGTATCGGAATGGAATAGGAGATTAGACATTATACCTATGCCAACTGACAACCTGGAATGTGTGTTACAAAGGGAACTGTGGGGGAGGGAGGAACATGAGTCTCAATGTATGAATGATACCCATTCTTGCATCATCCTTTCTGCAAACTTTCACTAATACCACAATATAAAAAAAAAACAAAATCTATCACCTGTCATTTTGTGATACCGTGTGGCGTGTGGGTCGCTTTAATGATGGAATGTATGTCACCAGCATTTCAAAATACCAACAGAGTCACCAATGGTGAGCAGGTTACAGTAGAGATTACAGATTAGGAGAGACTAGGTAATCTCCCAAGCAAGGTGATCCAACAGAATGTGGAAACTATCCAACAATATCATTAATATCACATGCAAGCAAAATACTGCTGAAGATCACTCAAAAACAGCTAGATTGGCATAAAGATTTATAACAGGGTGTGGCAACAGGGATATCACTGCTAATGTCAGATGGATCCTGGATGAAAATGTCAGACAGATCCTGGTTGGCAGTAAAGAATACCAGAAGAATGTCTATTTGTGCTTTATTGATTATGCAAAGGCATTTATTTGACTCTGTGGATCATACAAGTTATGGCTAAAGCTTTTTGGTAGGTATTTTCAAATCTCCAAATTCAACCACCCCACTCTAGCATACGTTGACTGAAGTCAAGGCCCCCATTCTTCATTTCTTCATAATATTTATCAAACATTCCTACCTTTACTATGGTCTCCCAGTGGCTACAGTAGGTTTCTCGTCCCCTTGACTTTGAGCTTGAACCAATGATTGCTTTGCCATGTTGTTGTTGACAGGTGTCATCCAGCCAAATACAACTCACAGTGACCCTATGAACAAAGAAACTAAACCCTGTCCTACCCTGTGCCATTGTCATCCATTCTGATACACACAAACTCACTCTCAGAGTGGCTGTGTCAATTCACCTTTGTAATGGTCCTCCTCTGTTGCCGACCCTTCTGAGCATGATGTCTTTTGCAAGGACTGGTCCCTCCTCACAGCATGCCCAAAGTATGTGAGTTTGCTGTCTTTGCCTGTATGAGGCATCCTGGTTGCACTTTGTCTAAGCTTGAGTGGAAACTGAAAATGTGTTCCCTCAAGCCCTCACTGCTCCTACATTTGGCTCCAGGTATTCGATGAATCAAGGAGAGAAAGAAATGGGGCTTCCAATGCACAGCTGGGAGTCAAGCCCAGACTGGATTAGCTAGACTCCTCGTCATTTCCTCCTTCAGCTAAAGAGGCAATATTATACAATAAATAGGAACCAAAGTTAGGTAGAGATGACAGAGTTTAGCAGCATGAGCTTGATAATATGCTTTCTCAATTGAAGCCTGACTCCTGACAAAATAATATGTACCGCTGCTTTATTTTCAGAGGCAAAATGGAAAATGTCCACTGTGTGCACACCATGCATTTGCTGACTTCTCACAATTACTTGCCTTTGACTCCAGCCATTTATTTCTCCAGGTATGCCTGAAGATTATCCAAAAGCGACTGGGACAGCACATCAGCAGAGAACTTCAGAAATCCAGGCTGGGTTTAGAAGGGGTCGTGGTACTAGGGATATTGTAGCTAATGTGAGATGGATCTTAGCTCAAAGTAGGGAATACCAGTGGAATGCATATCTATGTTTCATTGATTATGCAAAGGCGTTTGACTGTGTGGATCATAACAAACTGTGGCTGACTCTGAGAAGAATGGGAATCCCAGAACACTTGATCATGCTAGCGCGAAACCTATACTTGGACTAAGAGGCAGTCGTCAGAACAGAGCAAGGAAACACTGCATGGTTCAAAATTGGGAAAAGTTTATGCCAGGGATGTGTCCTATCTCCATACCTTTCCAACCTGTATGCAGAACAGATTATCCAAGAGGCTGGGCTTTATGAGGAGAAGTGTGGTGTCAGGATTGGTGGAAGATCTATTAACAATCTGCATTATGCAGATGACACAACCCTGCTTGCTGGAACAGGAGGACCTGAAGTGCTTGCTGTAGAGGGTCAAGGACTGCAGCCTTCAGTATGGACTGAGGCTCAATGTTGAGAAGACAAAGATTCTCACCACTGGACCAATTGGTAGCATCAGGATGGATGGTGAAGAGATTGAGATTGTACACAGCTTTAGTTTGCTTGGCTCCACGGTCAACATTCTTGGCACCAGCAGCCAGGAAATAAGAAAATGTATTGCGATGGGAAAGTCAGCTGTTAGGGACCTCTCCAGGGTACTGAAGAGCAAATGGTGTCACTCTGGAGACTAAGGTGCATCTGATACAGGCTGTGGTCTTTGCAATCACTTGTTATGCATCAGAGAGTTGGACAATGATGAGGGAGGATAGAAGGAGAATTGACGCCTTTGAGCTGTGGTGCTGGAGAAGAGTATTGAGTGTACCATGGACTCCTAGGAAAATAAACAGATTCATTCTGGAAAGGGTTAAACCAGGTGGCTCCTTGGAGGCAAGGATTCTGGAGTTTCGTCTGACATACTTAGGACATGCTTTAAGAAGGGACAGGTCCTTGGAGGGTGGGGAGGACAGCGCATGCTTGAGAGGGTGGAAGGACAGCACAGAAGGGAAAGATCCTCTA